AACAGCCGAAACACCAATAATCTGGTGGGGTTTCCAATAGAGTGCGATTGGTTGGATTCACTTGAAGTTACAACGGATTCACTTGAAGTTGAAAAGGTATAGACTGCAATTCTACAATTGTAAGTTTTCTGAGTGTGATAGCTCCGTCGATTTTCGGTTCCATGTTATCCCTATCCTGTCAGGGCCTCAGAAGATTTACCACTACTTTTTATCGGGGCTTCAAGTGTCGGTTCTTATGCCCGATCATTTTGATTTATTCATTTCTGCGAGATTATCTAGCTGCAATAGTTTGTAAAACAATTTATTAGATCTAATAGCGAATTTCGTTATCTATAGAACAAAGGAGGCTGGGACTGAAAACCTGGGAAGCACTTGATACCTGTTTCGACCTGGTCGAATCAACAGTGCAAATCCATCGACCCGATCGGAGATCGCATCCGGCACCTTACAAGTAGAATACAAGCATGCTACCCACGTAACCACTGAACAGCTGATCAAGCCGTTTTTCATTTTCCCTACGCACGATATAGCACAACCCATTTTTTGCCACCTTATCGCGGGGATTACACCTGACCCATCGCAGCTCTAACTTCCAGGGTTCTGTCTCTGTTGCAAACATTCCAAACCTGACTGTTTGTTACATTATAGTGATCTTCCAATCGAGGAGCAGCTTCTTCTGTTTTACACAAAGTGCCTACTCTCTTCGGGTCGGTTGACGACACTGATGTTTGCATTTGATTTTAATACACCGAGATTAAACTGTTTTGTGCTGCTCTTTTCTCAATCAGCTGGAACGGCATATTATCGCATCCGATCCCCGAGTGACCCGTTTCCCCATTGATTGGGGTGATGGCCTTCTCGATGGATGCCCCGAACCAGAACAAACCGAGGAACCGGATGCCGATGAACAGCTTCTCATGCCAACAGCAGATGTTGTCGGGGACGATGAAGATGCGGATGACGTGGACGAGGATGATGAAGAAGAGGTTAGTGAAAATGTTCCGGAAGAAGGAACCACAACCGGTGAAAACGCTTTGCCAGCGAGCAAGCGCGATATGGGCGGATCTGATTCCTTTATTGTTGGAACCACTGGTTCCGGATCAAGTGAGCCATTGCGGCAAGTTCAATCCTCGGCGATCTCTATGGACACCTCTTAACGGGCTGTCTGTCACATGCATCGGGTGCGATTTCATTGTCTCCGTCTTCAGACCCTGTATGAGTAACTATGCTCTCTTCCGACTGGGGTGGAACACACGACAATTTTATATGATGTTCACTCCACCTCATCCAATCAAGCATTTCTATTGTATTGTACTCGATTTTTTTCTATGTCGTTTCCCCACCCTCCTCGTCCATGCCTTTTATAAATTGTGTATTGCTCAGATTTTATGACATTAGAGAGAATCAAATGTTGTTGTTTGAATATTTCACGAACTTGAACTGAAGTATCCTCTTGATTGTTCTCTCTCTCTTTACAATGTGGCGAGCCGTAGAATAGGAAACACAGTACTGAGACTCATTGTTCGATCATGAAAATGAAAACACCAAGTCCTAGTATTTGGGGTTGAGAAACACTTGGGCATCGTATTAGACTGGATGGCAGTAAACCGGTGTTCCATCTGCATCGGTTTCTGCTGAAGGGTTCTCAGTTAAATACCACCCTAACAAAGTTANTGGCCAACTTCACTTTCACATGTTTTCCGAGCTTGTCAATTTGTTTGCTAACTGTTCACTAGTCCAACTTTCAATTTCAGTTTTTACAACCATTAACTATACACCTTTGTGCGGTGGTTGTAGTTGGTGATTTTTAGCTGCCCATTTGGATGAACGGATAGAAACAAAGATTGTAAAGTTGTGTGTAGNNTAGAGTCGAGGGAAAACGCAGCATTTCTGTATGCTAAGGTAACAAAGAAATTGCGATGCACAAGCCCCACCGTTTGCGATACTCAATCATATCACTCAGTATCTCTAACCATTGATAACAGTGATCCCGGAGTCCTTATCCTGGTAGCCTAGCGCGACCTATATGACCGAGTCCCCTGGTTACGATTTCCATTCACTCGTGCCTGGTGTTAGTTTGACCAACCTTGGTTTTTCCACCCACTACCTGCCTCAGGAGATATCGCTCACCGTGGTAATCTGTTTGATAACATGCGGAACGTCTGCTTCAACCAACGTGATCTATGGAGATAGAAAACTTGCCACAGTGGGTGGCCGTGATAAAATAAAATTATACGCGTAACCTCAGCATCGCTGGTACGATCTCCTTACCAGACTCGTACAATGTGGCATGGACGGCGGTGTTCGAAAACTGACAGTTTTTGTAATGGCCAAGTCTCAGCATCGTGTTGTAATGTTCAAAGTTTTATTGTGGTTAACTTGACAAAACTAACGCTTATTATGCCGCATAAGATTTCTACAGAATGTTTCGGACAACTATACAGGGGTTTAGTCACTGTCACTGGCATGCTTTGGACCCTATGATTCGATGTTTGAACCACGCCGCCGTCACCCAACTCTGGTGGTAGGCAGCTTTGCTGTAGTCCGATTCCATACCACGCCTAACCTAGCGGGACCTTATGTTGTTTATCACTCCAAGTCCCAGGGCTTAGTTTACCGGGTTCCATCATCGAATTGCAGTTCTACGCGACTATGGCCTTCACCATGCCTGCTGTTCCCCACACAAAGACGTGTGTACTAAAAATAAAAATAGTATATAATAATAATAATAATATGCATGATCATTCAAAGACATTGACGTGCTAAGTGTTCCAAAGTTTTATTAAGCTGTGTTTCGAGTAATTCAACTGTAGGAACGCACACAATATGGAATGGAAGGGACTTCCATACACTGCCCCTTCTGACTGCAAATGAGTGATGCCGGCAATCTGGGCAAATGTTATGGGTCCTCAGCCTCAACGGATGTTCCCTGAGATGCTTATTTTGAATGACTGCTGAATACTCACCTTTCGGGGTTTATAACGCTTATACTTGACGTGAACAGAGAAACACAAGGATAGTCGGGTGGTATGCCAAGAATAGCCCCCCCCCAAGTCGAGGGTACTGGAATGAATAAAACCCCAATATTTACAGTCTTCCGGAGTATATCTTGTCGTACGGACCTTTTGCCATTTTTGTTGTGTATGGCCGAATGGAGGCTCATAAGAAATTTGGGACCAGTGTTGTTTTGAACTGCCAGAAAGCACCTTTAAGTAATCCAACTTATTTTAGAGCCTCGGATGATGCTCTGGCTCAAGTTGTGGCAAGTGGTAGTATATGGTTCGCCAGAACATATGAAAGATGAGTCTTGTGTCGCGTGGAAATAACTTTGCATTTCGAAACGTTGAATTCAATGTCATTGACCATCGGTAAGCTGCATTAATCGTTTCTTGGAATTCCAAATAATCCTCTGGATGTGTTACTGTTCTCCAGATTTTAGCGTCCTTCGCGAATATAAGTGTATTTGGCCCAGGAACATGTGGTAGGTTGTTTGTAAACGCTAGAAAAAGACTAGGGCGCCTCACGGATCTTTGCAGAACCCCTCGGACAGCGAGCCTCCAAGTTCCTCAGTATGGTCGGTGGTGGTTGTCTCGGTTCCGAAATGGCCAATCATCCAGAAATGCTCCCAAACAACCACGCGCCTCAAATAGCTTCTGCTGAGGCAGTCCTACCCACGGCCTCCTCGTGGCTGAGATGTTAACACTAATTTAAGAGTACAAAGACGAACGCTCGGCATTTTCCATCGGATTGACTGACCATTGGTAGTCAGTCTAAGGGAGTTGGCTGACGCCAGACCGTGTCCCAAACAAATCATGGTACAATAATCTTTATAAGAAAGAAAAACGTTCCATGATTTGCATGTGGGATGAATGCTGCCAGTTTGCCCGGGCCAAGGCCGGTGAATTTTCTTGAGGGATCCACAACAGGAGCCTTCAGCTAGCCAAAGCCTGACCTACAAGGTAGCGGAGCAGTGTGTGAAAACCTCAATCCATTGGGAATCGATGTCCAGTTCATCGGACCATACGCTCTTTGGACGGGATCAAACGTGCCGAATACACCTCAATGCTCCATCGAGC